CTTGAAGAAATGTGAGAAAGACATTTTGAATCAGAAAGACACTAATATGTACGAAGGCGGCCAGATTTTAGAAGCAGAGACAGAAAGGAGCTGGGTGATTTCGCTGAAAGAAAGATAACCATGTAGAAAAGCGGAAAGACAGAAACTGAAAAGAACTGGCAACACCGTGGTAATGTAAAAGAAAGCTGGGTAGAGAAGATCTGGAAGAGGGGAGCTGGAACGCTGTTCTCTTGGGTTTGGTATGAAGTGGGGGCGTTTGCAAAGCATCGCCGGCGAAAATCATCTACCCTAATCTCAAGACATTTCGTGGGCTTCGCTCACTTGTCAAATCAGTCGACAAAGGCCAAAGGGTATAGGCAGTATCGTGTTCAAGAATAGACATTTGGTTTCGGAAATATTGAGAGGAAAGCAGCAAAAAGCGAAAGAATTGTAATAAATAAGATATACAGTAAAACGAAGGAAAATAATGAAAAGTTAAAAGAAGTAATATTGAGCAAAGTGTACGAAAAAGAAAAGAAAGCGGGACGTAAAAGAAAAAGAAATGAAAAGAGAATAGCGAAAAAGAAATACAAGGAATCATTAACAAAGAAAGAAAGAGAGAAAAATGGAACGACAAAAAAGAAGATAGAAAAAGGAAGGAAGAAAGACAATAAAATAAAAGGAACAAATAAAATTATTGTATAATTAAGAAAGAAAGAAAGAAAGAAAGAAAGAAAGAAAGAAAAGATGATACATACATTTAACTAGATATAGAGTGGAAAAGAAAATGAAGGAAAGAAAGAAAGAAACAAAGAAAGAAAAGAAAAGAAAGAAAAATTTTTGCCTTCAAATAAAGATAAATTATAATTAAGAAAGAAAGAAAGAAAGAAAGAAAGAAAGAAAGAAAGAAAGAAAATATGACAGGAACGAATAAAGATAAATTATAATTAAGAAAGAAAGAAAGAAAGAAAGAAAGAAAGAAAGAAAGAAAGAAAGAAAGAAAATATGACAGGAACGAATAAATTAAATTATAAATTATTTTTTTATTTTAAAGAAAGAAAGAAAGAAAGAAAGAAAGAAAAAATAAAGAAAGAAAATATGACAGGAACGAATAAAAAGATAAATTATAATTAAGAAAAGAAGTCTGAAAGAAAGAAAGAAAAAGAAATAATAACAAGAAACAAATAAAGATAAATTATAATTTTTTCCATTCAAAGAAAGAAAAAAGAAAAGAAAATATGACAAGAAACAAATAAATGATAAATTATAATTAAGAAAGAAAAGAAAAGAAAAGAAAGAAAGAAAGAAAAAAAGAAAAAAATATGACAGGAACGACAAAGATAAATTATAATTAAAAAGAAAGAAAGAAAATTTTAACTTGTCAAATAAAATATGACAAGAAAAAAAAAAAAATTTTTAATTAAAAAAAGAAAAAGAAAGAAAGAAAGAAAAATAAAGACAGGAACGAAAAAGATAAATTATAATTAAGAAAGAAAAGAAAGAAAGAAATTTAAAAGAAAATAGGAACGAAAAAAAGATAAATTATAATTAAGAAAGAAAGAAAGAAAGAAAGAAAGAAAAGAAAGAAAGAAAAAAATATTTCAAGAAATAAATAAAGATAAATTATAATTAAGAAAAAAGAAAATAAAAAGAAAGAAAAAAAGAAAGAAAATATGGCCAAGAACAAATAAAGATAAATTATAATTAAGAAAGAAAGAAAAGAAAGAAAGAAAGAAAGAAAGAAAGAAAGAAAATATGACAGGAACGAATAAAGATAAATTATAATTAAGAAAGAAAGAAAGAAAGAAAGAAAGAAAGAAAGAAATAAAATATGACAAGAACAAATAAAGATAAATTATAATTAAGAAAGAAAGAAAGAAAGAAAAAAAAAAAAAATATGACAAGAACAAATAAAAGATAAATTATAATTAAGAAAGAAAGAAAGAAAGAAAGAAAGAAAGAAAAAAGAAAATTGTTTTAGAACAAATAAAGATAAATTATAATTAAGAAAGAAAAAGAAAGAAAGAAAGAAAGAAAGAAAATATGACAGGAACGAATGGTGATAAATTATAATTAAGAAAAAGAAGAAATAAATTTGGAAGAAAGAAAGAAAGAAAGAAAGAAAGAAAAAAGAAAATATGACAAGAACAAATAAAGATAAATTATAATTAAGAAAGAAAGAAAGAAAGAAAGAAAGAAAGAAAATATGACAAGAACAAATAAAGATAAATTATAATTAAGAAAGAAAGAAAATCAAGAAAAGAAAGAAAGAAAGAAAAGAAAGAAAATATGACAGGAAATGAATAAAGATAAATTATAATTAAGAAAGAAAGAAAGAAAGAAAAAAGAAAGAAAGAAAAAGAAAGAAAATAAATATGACAGGAACGAATAAAGATAAATTATAATTAAGAAAGAAAGAAAAGAAAAGAAAGAAAGAAAAAAAAGAAAGAAAGAAAAGACAGAAAGAAAGAAAATATGACAGGAACGAATAAAAGATAAATTATAATTAAAAGAAAGAAAGAAAAGAAAGAAAAAAAGAAAGAAAGAAAGAGAATATGACAAGAAAAAAAGATAAATTATAATTAAGAAAGAAAAAGAAAGAAAAGAAAGAAAGAAAGAAGAAAGAAAAATATGATAGGAACGAATAAAAGATAAATTATAATTAAGAAAGAAAGAAAGAAAGAAAGAAAGAAAAAAAAAAAGAAAAAAAAAAAAATATGACAAGAACAGAAATAAAGATAAATTATAATTAAGAAAGAAAGAAAGAAATGAAAAGTATTGGAACGAATAAAGATAAATTATAATTAAGAAAGAAAGAAAGAAAGAAAGAAAGAAAGAAAGAAAGAAAGAAAGAAAGAAAAAAGAAAATATGACAAGAACAAATAAAGATAAATTATAATTAAGAAAGAAAGAAAGAAAGAAAGAAAGAAATAAAGAAAGAAAGAAAGAAAATATGACAAGAACAAATAAAGATAAATTATAATTAAGAAAGAAAGAAAGAAAGAAAGAAAGAAAGAAAGAAAGAAAATATGACAGGAACGAATAAAAATAAATTATAATTAAGAAAGAAAGAAAGAAAGAAAGAAAGAAAGAAAAGAAAGAATGAAAGAAAAAAGAAAATATGACAAGAACAAATAAAGATAAATTATAATTAAGAAAGAAAGAAAGAAAGAAAGAAAGAAAGAAAGAAAATATGACAGGAACGAATAAAGATAAATTATAATTAAGAAAGAAAGAAAGAAAGAAAGAAAGAAAGAAAGAAAATATGACAAGAACAAATAAAGATAAATTATAATTAAGAAAGAAAGAAAGAAAGAAAGAAAGAAAGAAAATGAAAGGAACGATAAATGATAATGTATAATTAAGAAAGAAAGAAAGACAATAAAATGAAAGGAACGAATAAGGATAAAGTATAATTAATAAAGAAAGAAAGAAAGAAAGAGAGAAGGAAAGAAAGAAAAATGAAGAAAGTAGATAAAACCAAAAACATTATGAGAGAAAGAAAAAAGAACGTGACAGAAAGAAAGAAAATAATGTGTTATTAGGAAAGAAAAACAGAAAGAAAAAGGAATGAAAAATATTTTTTAAAAATATTAAGAAAGAAATAGAGACTAGAAGAAAAGAAAGAAGATAATTATTAAGAAAGAAAGAAAAGAGAAGCTAAAAGATAAACATATTTAGAAAGACACAAGGACGAGGAAAAAGAAATGAACGAGACAAAAAGGCGAAAAAAAAAGAAAGAAAGAAGGAAATGAACGAGACAAAAAAGCGAAAAAGAAAGAAAGAAGGAAATGAACGAGACAAAAAAGCGAAAAAGAAAGAAAGAAGGAAATGAACGAGACAAAAAACGAAAACAAAGGAAAAAGAAAGGAAATGAACAAGGACAAAAAAGAAAAGAAAGAAAGAAATGAGCGAGACTCAAAAAAGGCGAAAAAAGAAAAGAAAAGAAAATGAACGAAACAAAAAGCGAAAAGAAAGAAAGAAATGAGCGAGACAAAAAAGCGAAAAAGAAAGGAAAAAAGAAGGAAATGAACGCGACAAAAAAGCGAAAAAGAAAGAAAGAAATGAACGAGACAAAAAGGCGAAAAAGAAAGAAAAAGGAAATGAACGAGACAAAAAGCTGTTTTCTTTAAAGAAATGAGCGAGACAAAAAGCGAAAAGAAAGGAAAAAAAAGAAGAAATGAACGAGACAAAAAAAACGAAAAAAAGAAAGAAATGAACGAGACAAAAAAAGCGAAAAAAGAAAAGAAGAAAGAAGGAAATGAACGAGACAAAAAGCGAAAAGAAAGAAAGAAATGAACGACACAAAAAAGCGAAATGAAAAGAAAGAAGGAAATGAACGAAAAAAAAGAAAAGAAAGGAAGAAAGAAATGAACGAGACAAAAAAGCGAAAAAGAAAGAAAAGATTATCTAAATGAACGAGACAAAAAAGCGAAAAAGAAAGGAAGAAAGAAATGAACGAGACAAAAAAGCGAAAAAGAAAGAAAGAAGGAAATGAACGAGACAAAAAAGCGAAAAAGAAAGAAAGAAGGAAATGAACGAGACAAAAAAGCGAAAACGAAAGGAAGAAAGAAGGAAATGAACGAGACAAAAAAGTGAAAAAGAAAGAAAGAAATGAGCGAGACAAAAAGGCGAAAAAGAAAGAAAAAGGAAATGAACGAGACAAAAAAGCGAAAAAGAAAGAAAGAAATGAGCGAGTCAAAAAAGCGAAAAAGAAAGGAAAAAAGAAGGAAATGAACGCGACAAAAAAGCGAAAAAGAAAGAAAGAAATGAACGAGACAAAAAGGCGAAAAAGAAAGAAAAAGGAAATGAACGAGACAAAAAAGCGAAAAAGAAAGAAAGAAATGAGCGAGACAAAAAAGCGAAAAAGAAAGGAAAAAAGAAGGAAATGAACGAGACAAAAAAACGAAAAAGAAAGAAATGAACGAGACAAAAAAAGCGAAAAAGAAAAGAAGAAAGAAGGAAATGAACGAGACAAAAAGCGAAAAAGAAGAAAGAAATGAACGACACAAAAAAGGAAATGAAAAGAAAGAAGGAAATGAACGAAAAAAAGAGAAAAGAAAGGAAGAAAGAAAATGAACGAGACAAAAAGCGAAAAGAAAGAAAAAAAGGAAATGAACGAGACAAAAAGAAAAAGAAAGGAAGAAAGAAATGAACGAGACAAAAAGCGAAAAAGAAAAGGAAGAAAGAAATGAACGAGACAAAAGCGAAAAGAAAGAAAGAAGGAAATGAACGAGACAAAAGCGAAAAGAAAAAGAAAGAAATGAACGAGACAAAAAAGGAAAAGAAAGAAAGAAGGGAAATGAACGAGACAAAAAAGGAAAAAGAAAAAGAAGAAAGAAGGAAATGAACGAGACAAAAAAGCGAAAAAGAAAGAAAGAAGGGAATGAACGAGACAAAAAAACGAAAAAGAAAGAAATGAACGAGACAAAAAAGCGAAAAAGAAAAGAAGAAAGAAGGAAATGAACGAGACAAAAAAGCGAAAAAGAAAGAAAGAAATGAACGACACAAAAAAGCGAAAATGAAAGAAAGAAGGAAATGAACGAAAAAAAAGAGAAAAAGAAAGGAAGAAAGAAATGAACGAGACAAAAAAGCGAAAAAGAAAGAAAGAAGGAAATGAACGAGACAAAAAAGAGAAAAAGAAAGGAAGAAAGAAATGAACGAGACAAAAAAGCGAAAAAGAAAGGAAGAAAGAAATGAACGAGACAAAAAAGCGAAAAAGAAAGAAAGAAGGAAATGAACGAGACAAAAAAGAGAAAAAGAAAGAAAGAAATGAACGAGACAAAAAAGAGAAAAAGAAAGAAAGAAATGAACGAGAAAAAAAAGCGAAAAAGAAAGAGAGAAAGAAATGAACTAGACAAAAATGCGAAAATGAATGAAATAAACGAGACAAAAAAGCGAAAAAGAAAGAAAGAAGAAAATGAACGAGACAAATAGCGAAAAAAAAGAAAGAAGGAAATGAACGGGACAAAAAAGCGAAAAAGAAAGAAAAGAGGAAATGACCGAGACAAAAAAGCGAAAAAGAAAGAAAGAAATGAACGAGACAAAAAAGCGAAAAAGAAAGAAAGAGGGAAATGAACGAGACAAAAAGCCAAAAAGAAAGAAGGAAAGAAATGAACGAAACAAAAAAGCGAAAAAGAAAGAAATGAACGAAAAAAAAGCGAAAAAGAAAGAAAGAAATGAACGAGACAAAAAAGCGAAAAAGAAAGAAAGAAAAAATATAAAAGAAAACAAAGAAGATGAAAACAACAGTAAATGAATACGGTAAAAATAAAGGGGAAATTAAATAATGATTCGTTGTGATGAAGGAAACTATTTTAAAAGGGACCACCTGACGGCATTTACCGATATTTGCCGATTGTCAATTATTACTGAGTTCCAAACACCAGAATTGTGGCCTAGTGTCAAATCATACTAAGTTTAGTAGGCAACAGCTTACTACTTTCGGTTTTACTGATGAAATCTACAATTAGAAAGAGTTATGCAGTATATATAATCTATATATTAAATGACAATGTCAGTGTGTCGCACTATTTCTGTTAATGGGACACAATTTTCAATAGCTCATCCCTTTCTTCTATAGAATAAATTCCAATGTCAGTGTGTCACACTTTTTCAATTACAGGAACATAACTCTTATAAGCTCATCCTTTTCTATATAAAAAATACCAATGTCTCTGTGTCATTGTGTCACAATTTTTCAATTAAAGGGACACAATATCTCTCTATATTTCTGAGATGAGATATTATATACACTATTTACATTATTCGGACTATTGTCCTCATCTTTATTGGCATATTTATCACAACGTTTCGGCCGTTGCACGCTCCGGCCTTTTTCAGGTGTTTGGAATGTCTAACGGAACCCTTTATTTCGCTCACTGGTGTAGACTGTTCTTGTTCCACGTGACATCTCTAATGGATATCAGTTATGAGTTATCTCTTGTTAATTCCCCTGTCCATATTCTCTGCCGTCTTAGCCAGGTATTTAATTCACACTATCTGGGTCCTGTCCCTGGATTTAACTAACGCCTTTATCCATTGTGCCAGTAATAAGGAGTGCCAGAGAAAAGCGATAATAACAGAAAAATTGTAATATGAGCTCTTGTAAAAACATGCAATGATAACAGCAAAAATTGCAATATGAGCATTGGTAAAAAAAATGAATTGAAGACATTGAGTTTCTAAAACCCAGAAATTCATACACAGATGTCCTCGAGAACGCATGGCGCAGTGGGACAGTGGATAAATGCGTTAGCTATGTCCAGTGACAGGACCCAAAGAGTGTGAGTTCAATACCTGGTAAAGGAGATAACTGATAACTGAAATCCATTGAATAGTCCTACTGGAATAAAGGGTTCAGTTCGAAAGTTCATTTCCAACCACCTGAAGAAGGCCTGAGCGTACAACGGTCGAAACATTGTAATAAATATGGCAAGAAAGGTGAGGACAATAGTCCGAATAATGTAAATAGTGTCACACTTTTTCAATTACAGGAACATAATTCTTATAGGATTATCTTCTATATAAAAATGCCAATGTCTGTGTGTCATTGTGTTACACATTTTCAATTAAAGGGACACAGCTCTCAATAGCTCATCCCTGTCTTCTACATAATAAATTCCAATGTCAGTGTGTCACACTTTTTCAATTAAAGGAACATAACTCTTATAAGCTCATCTTCTTCTATATAATAAATGCTAATGTAGGTGTCATCGTATCACACTTTTTTTTTCAATTAAAGGGACATAACTTTATAACATTCAATAGTTCATGTTACAGAAGTTTAAAATTTCCACGTTTTCATTACTGCGATTGTTTACGGTGATATTTTATGTGATTTTTTGCGATAACAGTTTTTAGAAAATGGAAATAAATTTGAAAATAATAAGTCACCCATGAAATAAAACTAATTGTTTTTACGAAAAGTGAAAACCTACGCTCATCAAAATTTCTAAGATGTCAGCAGAAGAATTAACGTTAAACTTTTAAAAGATTAGCTTAAATATTAATGCACTATTTAAATAAAGCGATCAATTTTGAGTTCTATATTTTATCGATGCCTATGGCATACGGCAGCAGTATGCCTCGCAAAAAGAAATCACCTCCAACAAAGGACCAGATTGCAATCAAAAGAACCAAGTCTTCGGCGACGAAGATAAAGTCCCGTGCAACTGAAAACCGATATCAAGCAACAGCTTCCAATGCAGAGAATATGCAAATACTTAGGGTCTCTCTAACCCTAGAACATGCCCAAGGCAAAATCAACAGCTCTTCACAGGATCTACCTTGAATGTCAAATGACGGGGTGGGTTTTTAAGCTATTCGTATAATAATTCAGTTTGTTCGTCGGCGGAATGAACAAGCGAAGAAGAAATAGAAATTAATCAAAGAATATTAGTGAATTAAAAACTGAAAACAAAAGGAAACTCTATAATATTAACACGAATCCTTAGCGAGGTGATCTCGATGAGCAGTCCTATAAATTAAAGTGTGCGATTCTCACTGGGTACGCGCTATTTAGGGCTCTGGTCAAGCGAAGGTAAGTCTCGTCAATAATGACCTCACCCACGCCATTTTGCATTTCAGTATTACGTAGAAAATAAACACGATGTAAAATCGGTGACATGGAGGAACAGGAGAGGTCGAGTTGGAATGGGAAAGCATATCATGAAATTCGAAGGGTGAACATTATGGAAATATTTCTATTTTAGCTGGGTGAGGTTTGATGGAGTTTCATGGCAAGGCCAGGACGAAAAGGAAAATGCGAAAAGAAAGATGGAAGTAGTAATATTGATTAAGAAATGATCGAGGAATTTAAAAAAAGAAATGACTGGTGGGGATCGTGTGGGATAAAGGGAATCTTAGCAGGAAGAAAGAAAAAAGAAAGAAAGGAAAAAGGAAAGAAAGAAAGAAAAGAAAAGAAAAGAAAGATAGAAAAGAAATTCTGAAAAAAGAAACCAATATTAATGGAATAGTTTTTAAATAAATAAAAAGAACGTGAACGTAGATAACGACAAAGAGAAAAAAACATTTAAAAGAAAGAAAGAAATAAAGAAAGGAAGAACGTAAGAATGAAAGGAAGGAAAAAGAATGACAGCAAAAAAGAAAGAAAGAAAGAAAGAAAAACGAAAGAAAGAAGATAAGAAAGAAACGAAGAAGACAAGAACGAATGAAAAAGAAAAGAACGAAAGTAAGAAAGAACGAAAGAAAGAAGAAAAGAGCGAACTAAAAAAGAGTTTGTGAAAGAAAGAACGAAATAAATAAAGAAAAAACGAAAGAAAGAAAGAACGAAAGAAAACTCGAAAGAAAGAAAGAAAAGAAAAAAGGAAGAAAAAAGAATAACAGTAAGAAAGAAAGGAGATAACGAACGAATGAAAGAAAGAAAGAAAGAACGAACGAAAGTCAGCGAAAATGACAGAAAGAAAGAACGTAAATAAGAAAGAAAGAAAGAAAGAAGAAAATGAATGAAAAAAGAAAAGAACGAAAGTAAGAAAAAGGAAAGATGAAAAGATCGAATTAAAAAAAGAGTTTGTGAAAGAAAGAACGAAATAAATAAATAAATAAAGAAAGAAAGAAAGAAAGAACGAAAGAAAGAAGTCTAGTAGTAAAACAAGTTAGAAGAAACAAAATACAGCTTATGAATGGAAGGAAAACAAAAAAGGAAAAAGAAAAGCGAAAAGAAAGAAAGAAAAAAGAAAGGAACGAAGAAAGGAACAGACAAAGCGAAAGGGTAGAAGGTATATAACTATACTTTCCTTCCTTTCATTTTCCCGCTCAAGAAAGCAAAATGAGAGTCGGTTTTTGAAAGAAATGCAACGGAGATGAGTTGAAAATCCTGGAGAGGAAAAGAATAGCATGCAAAATAAAATCTCCAAATTGAATATGGGAGATAAAATGGCGGGAGTCAAATATAAAGGGCGATTGGTCGAAAAGATAGAGACGAAAAACTCAATGCTGGGGAGAAAAGTAGAAAAGACGGGGGTAGAACCATATGCGGATAGATTGTACCTGTCAATATGATTACGACCTTACCGTCTTCAAGCGGCCTGAGAGGTTCGGGTCAGAAGTTCTTATATAGGTAACGGAGCCAACGGCCAGAGATATATTCTGACGAGTCCCTGTGCGTCTCCTGCGTCGACATTCCACAGGGAGGAGCCCGGAGACGGACCTTTTCGTTGAGAAAATGGGAGGTTCCGTGGCGAACCACATGGGAGAATCGAGAACTTCCTCCAGGTTCTAAAGAGCACCCCATCTTTGTCTGTTATGAAGATGAAACTACTGTTTCTTAACTAGTCTACCCTTCCCACAATCCCCTTGCAATTTGGAAATAATCTTTTGACTGGAGCAATATATTTGTTCGTCTGTTGTTTTTGTTTTTTGTTTTTTTTTTTTTTAATCTTTTCCCATGACTCTGTAAATCAGGAAATTGACAGACTAACGCAGCGAAATCAATGTCAGGCAAGAACCAGATTTGATTATTGGTGGAAAGCTGAATCAGTGAATATATATATATATATATATATATATATATATATATATATATATATATATATATATAGCCCTCGTTCTTAAATCAGTATCCGCCCAAAATTTTTCATTACCATTATAATGATTCGATTTCTCTGTTGCTACATGCGTATGTTAAACGTAACGCAGCAAAAAGGACACGTCGTAGCGCAATTTTGTTATCACAATAACTTTCAAACTGGGCTAACTTGGAGAATAAATCAATTTCCAGTCTAATCGGGCAACTGTCGAATAGGAATGATAATTCTGGTTACAAATATCCTGAAAAGGATCGACTTACCTTTGAAGTCGAATCAATCAATTTTCAGTCTAATCAGAAAACCATCCAAGGAAGACAACTCCAGATCTATTAACTGTTAATTACATTTATTTTTATTTTTCTAAATAAGGAGGTAAGTAGAATGAGTAGAGAATAAGTAAAGATAACAGTCCTCATCCCCTCTTGGCACCAGTTAATAGAAGTGATGTTACTTCAATAATAATATAATAATTATGGTATCTGACAGCATAAAAAGGCGTACTGTTATATGACATAGTTCCACATTTCAACAAGGCAGAAAAAATGATGCAGATATAGGTCGAACGCATGCTAAATAATAGTTTAGCAAACTAATATTTTTAGCTGGCATGGTATCTCTGCTCGGACATCCTGAGATTGATCTTTGTGGTCAAATGGAAGACAAAACAAAGAAGTCGATTTTGATTGGCTGAGCCAGGGTGGAAAAGAAGATAGGCATAAAGAAAGTGTTTTCAGTGAGTGGTTTCTGAACCGTCAGGCAATGGAGACGTGTTCGCTTTTGCGTGTGAAACGGCTCTCCAGTAGAAAGAGAGCAACCCCACTGGATAACTAGAAAATGTGCATGTTGACGTTAATAAAATAGCGAAGTAAAATTCCCTGTGTTGGAGTTCTTTTATCTCCCTGAACTAAACACAACTAACGATTACCGGCCGCAAGAGATTCATTTGTCTCTCTTTGTCTCTACCGTCTTTTTATCTTTCTCCGTTTCTCACCATCTAACCGTTTTCTCTTTATCTATTTTTCTTCTTTTCCTTCATCTAGAGATAAGGTTTTATCTGACTCTCTTGTCCCTGTCGTCTGTCTCTCTTCGTTTCTCATTCTCTATCAGTCTTCTCTCTATCTTTCTTTCTTACTCTCTCTCTATTTTCTTATCACTATTGTCTTTCTATCTCTTTGGTTCTCATTCCCTAAACGTGTTCTGTTTATATCTCTTTTTCCTCACACTTTACTTCTTCCTTTTTCTTTTTTTTTTACATCTATGTTTTCTTTCTCTTCTTCTCTCAATCTCTAATAGCTTTTCTTTTTACATCCAATTCTTCCTCACTTTTTATTTTTAGGCAAAATTATAATCTATAGTAATGAGCTTTTGGTATAAAATTAACCTACTGACGGCTTGAAAATTGCTTGGGAATTTCAAGAAAATATATAAACCATTTTAAAAGATTCATCTTATATATTATCAAATACCGTGATAATGATATAATTTTAAATTTATAATGTCGTTAGAGTATATAATATTATTATGGAGTTGGGTTGGTTTTGTGACTCAACAGATACCCGTTTGACACTCCTGTGATGCCAATCGTTGTCACTTTTGTAATCTTAAGCTTTTTCTCTTGTCGATGACCATATTTTCTGAGCTTCTTCATGGGATCTTTTCTCTCATTCTTCCGGAGGGCTTGTCGTTTTCTTTTCGAGTCAGCCATCATCGTAGTCAACATCTGACTATCTTATACTTTTGAGATTACTCCCACCAATAATAAATCCTGTAAGGTGCTCCAGTTTCAATAGTAGAAGCTGAATAAATCTGGCGAGAAGCACATCTTTGTCTCATCCGCCTGTCTAAATAAACCTAAAACATTTTCCAGAATATGCCCTGCTGAACAAGATAGAGATGTGGCATAATGGTTGGCGGATAGGACCGATAAATTTATAAAAATAAATATTAAGTTACTTGGTACCAAGTTTATTTAACATAACTTCTATTTAAGCTACATGTTTTCTGTTTAATATCAGCCCAAAGAAAATGTTTTAGCTCACACATAGATATTATTTCTCTTACACCAGAAGAAAAAATATACTTCTTCTTAAAATTGTTATCTCAAGGAAGACAATAAAGTCACTAAGATGCAAAGGGTTATCGGTGTCAGAGAATTTAATGAGAGAGAACAATAAAAGAACAAGAATTCAGACAGAAGATAACAATTGAAATTGCATTTAAATTTTTGAAGATCAGAGTTGACAGGAAAGGAAGAAGCCGGAGAAGAAGAAACTGGTAGCATTAGATCTTTAAATATAACAATTTCAAATACAAATTTATGAGACCTTGCCGCCAAACTAATATTGCGCTTAAAGTTGTATAGTTATAGATACCAAAAAAGAAAGCAATATTTATTTTGAAAAATACAAAAATATGGCACAAGGCCAAAAAAGGGATATCGGAAGGCTAGTCTTATCTTAAACTTTGCTAGCAATTCATTTTTGCCATTATTAGTACAGACACCATAATACCTGGGAGTCTCTATTGAGTCCTAACTAGTTCCATATATACAACATTTTACTAAAGAGAGAAGTAATATTTATTTTGGGATTACAACACTGTGTCACAAAGCCAAAATGGTATATATGCGAAGGTTACTCTTCAATCTGTCTTATCTTAAACCTATCTAGCCATAATTACTGACTCAAACATACTACAGTATTCCTTACACCAAAACAACACATTCTTACCATTCTTACTACAGCCACCATAACACCTCACTGTTTCTATTAAGTCGTGACTAGTTCCACATATACATAATTGTAGTAAAGAGAGAAGTAAAATTTATTTTGGAAATGCAACAATGTGCCACAAAGCCAAAATGTCTACATGCGAAAGTTACTCTGTCTTATCTTAAAATCAGCTAGCCATGATTACTGGCCCAAATATAGAAGATAGATAGAAAGACAATATTTTTTTCTAATTCCATAGACTATTACAATTTCACATAATATAATGAACTCTACTGTTATATGGAAGGATGAATTTTTCTCTGTCAATAATTAAAAGTAAAAATTTCCAAAGAAAGCAAACGCGAAATGCATGTCAGTAGATTTGCAGCCTTATTTACCGTATTTATTCGATAGATAGATAGATAGATAGATAGATAGATAGATAGATAGATAGATAGATATGAACAGACTGTGGTAGATAGATAGATAGATAGATAGATAGATAGATAGATATTGAACAGACCTGACTAGATAGATAGATAGATATGAACAGACTGTGATAGATAGATAGATGTTGAACAGACCTGACTAGATAGATAGATAGATAGATAGATATGAAGAAACTGAGATAGATAGATGATAAAGGCATAAATAGACTAATATATATATATATATATATATATATATATATATATATATATATATATATATATATATATATATATATATATATATATATAGCGAAAGATAGATATATATTATGAACAGACTGAGATAGATAGGTAGATAGATAGATATGAACAAGCTGAGATAGATATATGATAAATGCATGTCAGTAGATTTGCAGCCTTATTTACAGTATTTATTAGATAGATAGATAGATAGATAGATAGATAGATATGAACAGACTGTGATAGATAGATAGATAGATGAAAAAACTGATATAGATAGATGATAAAGGCATGAACAGACTAATATATATATATATATATATATATATATATATGTCAGATAGATATTATGAACAGACTGAGATAGATAGGTAGATAAATAGATATGAACAAGCTGAGATAGATATATAAGCAAACATAAATAGACTAATATATATATATATATATATATATATATATATATGAAGAAATACAGTTTTAAGGTGTGGTATATTTACAGGATGAAGTGCTCAATATCAGAGATAGAGCATATCTAAATACAAATATAAAAGTGATCATTGAAATCAACACTCAGAGGCGACAGGCTGTTTCATGCTAGACGCAATCGTCAGGCCGATATAAGAGATAGATAGATAGATAGATATAAAATGACTAATATAGACATAGATATTATGAACAGACTTAGAAGAAAATATACTGATATATATATATATATATATATATATATATATATATATATTGTTGCAGGCACATGCGAGTTGTGTGGAAAATATGTGTCCCCTAGTATATCTATGCTACATCAAAAATAGCGGACCCAGCATGTGAGTCCAGTAACAAAATAACAGCGTACAAACTGTATATTAATAAAACAAAGTTATACATAGATAACGGAAGTCTGTTGCATGTGACAAATCAATGAATATGAACGTAGAAACCATTTAAACTAGTGATGGCTTTTGTTTAGAAGTAAATGTAACACGCGTGTGTGATAACGTGTAACAATCGTGTGTGATATATGTATATATGCATATGTATTAGAGAATTCAAATATCAATATAAGAGCAACCGAAGAGAACGCGTGTCAGCGGC